TGCATTTTCGGCTTAAAGCGGCCGCTATTTGGCTATCGTTAACGAGATCATGAAACAAATGCACATACATATTTGTGACATGATGTACTTGTGTGTGTGAAGTTTGAACTCGATCAATCCAGACATGTCTCAGATACGGATCCAGAACTGAATTCTTTAAAACAAAATGGCCGCCAGTCGGCCATTTCAAGCCCGACCCCCCAAAAAAATGACGTGCATCAAGGATCTATTATGTTTAATGTATGTACTAAATTTGAACAAAATCCGTCCATGCATAACTGAGATCCGGGTCCGGAATGGTGAAAATGTGCGATTTTGATGCATTTTCGGCCTTAAAATGGCCGCTATTTGGCTATCGTTAATCGGATCATGAAAAAAATGCATGTGCAAATGTCCCATATAATGTGTGATGTATGAGTGAAGTTTGAACTTAATCGGTCCATGCATGTTCGAGATACAGGTGATCACGGACGCACAGACGCACACAGAGCAAAACATAAGTCCCCGTTTTCGGACTACGTCCGAACGGGGACTAAATATAAACACAATCTTAGTTCAGTTGCGGCTAGTGTATGGTAAAGGGTATAATATAATAAACAACAGATACACGTAATTGACTAAAAGCAAACTGTTGAAATATATTTGCAAGAATATTTGAACAATTACAAGCACAACAATTTGTTAAATAAAAGGAAACAATATCTACATCAATATACCATAAACATAGTGGAATAATTACCCTAGGTATGTATACCATAAACGTTTTAATAGCTTTTACAGTTTTATCTATCATTTACAGCACAAACATGTACCTGGGTACAGTCCAACATCCTCTATACGAGGTACGATCAAACAACTCGCATCGGTGAGTGAATAATGAAACTTGCTCATGATAAGGTTATAACTTGTTCGTTTTTCAGGTCATGCTCAGGTTCAAAAAATGTGTTTTGTTTTTTTCAAAATGTGCTAGTAATAAAGCTTGTAACAAAAATTTCAAAACATCTGTCATCCAGAAAACGATACGTTTTTGTAGGCAATGCACATAATTGTAAATTTTTAAACATGGCAGAAGGAAGACCAGAAACACATTCACAAACAAAAATACTAAAAGACAATTCTCTGTTCGAAATCATATTCAGTCAAATATAAAAAAGCTGCAATTAAAAAAAATTACCACAAACAAGTGACATGCAATGTAGTTTACAATGCAGCTTGTAAAGCGGCTACAAATATTTATTTGTACAATAAACTTAAAAAGGCGGTGGTTGCTGCGCCGTGCGTCATTTGTGTTGATAAATATTGATTTTCTCACAATCCAATAAGGTCTTCTAATGAAAATCATAAGTATGAGTTTTGTTCTGGGCGTATGCACTTGTTGCCACCAGTGACTCTTTCGATACCTTCCAATCACCATGGAAATTACATAGTTAAATCTTAGCAACGTCTCAGTTTGTACTCAGTTGGTCTGTGCAACGGTCAAAATCACAATCTTTGTTCATACGCCCCTTAAAAACTTTCGGCAACTTAATTATATATTGAAGGTGGGAAAGAAATATTGTAATATGAACACAAGATACTGGGAATAATTAAAATATTAATTAACATTTAAAGATTAAATGCACTTCCACCTTGTGGAGGGGTTAATTTCCCAAAAGTTTTTTTTATTTTTATTGCAGTGACTTTTAAATTAACAATGGCTGATTAAAAATTAAATGTTAATTGTGTATGATGTTATTATTACTGTGCTGTACAGAAAATATGGTAAATGGAAGAAAAAGGTATTCTTGATAATTTTTGAGTTTTACACTTCTGATTGGCACAAAGCATTTGCATATTAATGTACAGTATTCAAAAATTCAAAGGGCAGTGAGTTTTAGTGAAAAGGAGAATGTGATCTTAACCTCATTTATATGCGCATATATGCGCTGAATTGAAAAAATGATAACAATGCCCCACAGACTCTCACACATAAAAAAAACACAAATTGTGAAAACATAGCTTTTTTTAAAAGAAACCTTCAATAGAAAAGCTTTAAAAGTGGAAACATGTGTATATTGTATCTTTATGGCAGACATTATGAGTAAAAATCATATAATAAATAAACCAAATGTGACCAAAATAGGTGGTAATGTGTGCAAGAAATGAGATGAACACTGGGCAACAATTTAGATGTAACTGCAGCCAGATGGCATGACGTCATTAGTAGTAGTAGCTGACTCACTAATAGCATTAATAAGCTCCACTAAAATCAATACAAAAGAACACCAAGCTGTCCTCATACTATTTATTGCCTAGTATCTGTCCACTGTTAAAGATGGTTAGGAAGAGTTATGCATTGCTAACTATCAAACTGTTTTTAACTATTATTATTATATTATTTTATTTTTATTCATAGGGTATTGATATTGAACCTGATATTACAAATATGATTCATGAAATATGACTTAAGCACACACATGGTTTTGGGTCTAGCAACTATTTTGGGTTCAAGTTGCAACATTATGATACAGCCATGGTTAATGAAGGACTCTCAGAATAAGAACCAACTATTGCTTTTAGATTCACATTGCATACTTTCGCAGAAAAAAAAACTATTTTCGATGATGGGAAAGCTGCAAGCATAGCAAACTCTCACAATCCTGGCGGGCACAACCTGACACATCCGCATGGTCTATACATATTTTCATTCATAAGATCTTCTAGAATTCTGGAAGCTTTCTAACCTCTCATGCGGATTCCTCATAGCTTTGAGGTTTTGTATATATATATTGCTGGTGTTGTAAAATTAAAGTTTAAAAATTAAAAATTAAAATCCACTTGGAGGTTTGAATGATCTCCGCAAACTATCTTGATGGTCATCTGCCGATTTTCTAGCGATGGATTTTAAGCATCTTGCATGATTCACTTCACACAAAGGAAGCCACGCACATTCACAAGGAATGTCTCCATTTTTCTTAGAAAAGCCAGTTTATGGGGTCTGTTGATGACTAAAGGTTCATTTGGTGGAGTCAGTTGATTAAATGCATCTGCTAGACGCTGGTAATAACTGGGGTCGGTCTGACTTCCTACCAAGCTGTGCACAAGCTCATTGTATTGTACCTAGAAAGTAAACAAATGAATGAAACAGACTGTAGATCATACCCTATGGTCAATGTGTGTATGTGCTGTCTATGTTTAAAAAGTGCAGATAAAAAAGTTGAAGAGATTTCTGAAAATCATTTTCTTATAACATTTATGGTACATTCAGATATTCTTAAATGAGTAACATTTTTGTTGTTGTTAACTACTAATATTACAATGCCATTTTCATACATTGACAAAATGGATTATTTAACCAAGGCTTTGACATAGTCCACCAGTTTCAGAAGTGTGGTCAATAATTTCATTTCAACTATAAAATTCAGACATTTTTCACTTTATATTATAGATAAGAGATGGGCATAGATAGGCATAATATCTTTTAGCTCCCTTGTAATATCTGCTAATTCAATTTGTGGCAAATTTAACTAACTTGTAATATCTGCTAATTCAATTTGTAGCTAAATTAGCTACCTTGTAATATCTGTTAATTCAATTTGTAGCCAATTTAGCCACCTTGTAATATCACTAATTCAATTAGTAGCTAAATTAGCTACCTTGTAATATTTGCTAATTCAATTTGTAGCTAAATTAGCTACCTTGTAATATCTGCTAATTCAATTTGTAGCTAATTTAGCCACCTTGTAATATCTGCTAATTCAATTAGTAGCTAATTTAGCCACCTTGTAATATCACTAATTCAATTAGTAGCTAATTAAGCTACCTTAATAAAATCTGCTAATTCAATTTGTAGCTAATTTAGCCACCTTGTAATATCATTAATTCAATTAGTAGCTAATTTAGCTACCTTGTAATATCTGCTAATTCAATTTGTAGCTAATTTAGCTACCTTGTAATATCTGCTAATTCATGTATTGGCATGAAGCTATTTCAGAGTTAATACATTCTGTTGAGACAAATTTAACACAAACCTGATGGCAGCACATCAGTGCAAAGAAAGCTTCCGATGCTGGACTTGTAAGTTCCATGTCAAAGTTTTGGTACAACAAGATATCAAACACGACCTGTAAGGAAGTGATTAATAGTTTCAATGTTAAGTATAAAATAAAATAAATGTTTCATCATTTACAAAGTAGTTATCAGCAACATTCAGACTATACAATGTATCACGTTCATATCTCCACAGTGTGACGTATTATAGGACAGATCAAAAATAACATTTTTTCATTGTGCATGCTGCTTGAAAGTTGTCCAGCAGAGTTTGATAACTATGGATTGTGCTAAAAATGGTTCATTTTTGAAAGCTCATGTGTGTATTTTTGGAATTATTATTCCGTCTCCAAAAGATCAGACTTGGAGCAAATATAATGAACAAGCAGAATCAGTACACATTATATGCAAGAAGTTTGTGTTAAATAGAACACAGCGGCATCAACAAAGTTACCATCACATATACAGCCTGATATTACTCTGGGGATTTGAATGAAATAAACCATCACATATACAGCCAAAGATTACCCTGAATTCTTCAACCAATCCG